CCGCGCAACGTATGTGGGATTTTTTTTGTATGGAAGAAAATGCGTAATACCCTAAACAAAAAAAATATATATATTTAAAATCAACGCAATCAAGGGGAAATTATAAAAAATTTCATAAACTCTTTTAAGGTTTGGACAAGTTGTGTGCCTAGTCGAGTAGACGAAAAAAGCATACTCAGAATTTTGAATTGACACTCAAAATGTCGGCTTAATGTTGAAACCCTCATTTTCGGTAGGTTGGAGCTTGAACTAGGCAAAGTGCGACATTTGACTAATTTTCTTTTGTTGGTTTAATGTGCATTAATTTTTTATAAAAGTATAGCTCGTTATATAACGACAACCATATAAATCCAAATTTAAAAGTTTGTTGCGAAAATTTGCATCAATGGATAAAATTTGGTAATCAGAACTAAGAAAATCGAAGTATTTATTCAATTTTATAGCCCATTAAATTTTAGTGTAATGTGTTGTGCAGGTTTGAATTATTTTAAAATTCGCATTGATTTTTGGTTTTTTTGCTGGCGTTGTTAAGTACTTCGTTCCATATAAAAACATTTCAATCATTCTTTATAGGGGCGAAATTACAACTAACGTAGTTGCCATCAAAGAAAACAAATTTTGCAGTTTTATCTAACAAATTTTGCAGTTTTATCTTTAACCGAACCGAACCATTTGCTGGGGTGGTTTTCGGTTCGGTTTTGGCATTTCCAAATAAAAACGGTTCGGTTCGAAGCCCGAAAAAAGCGACGGTTCAGTTCAAAAACCGTTTCGGTTCAAAAACCGGTTCGGTACAAAACCGGTTTGCAGGATTGTTAAGAACAGACACATACATACATACATATATGCACAGTAGAAATCGGTTGTACGCATTCATGAAGAATGCTTGCTATATCAGTGAATTAGTGTAAACAATTCATGCGTAGTCATGAATTTCTACGAATAAATTCAAATTCTAGCGAATTGCAAGCGAATGTACGTTCTCGTTGTTTTAAGTACATTTCTTGATAAATTTGAAGTGGAATTTTTGTAATATTTTCAGTCTTGTACAAAAATTTTAGTGAACGGACGTGTTGTGCGATACTATTTTCAGCAAAAAACGAGCTTTTACAAGATATGCATTTGCATATGTAAATGCTACTTTTTTTGTATGTCCCCGTATAATAAAATGTATCATAAAAGTAGCATTTACATATGGGGATACATATCTTGTAAGAATGCTTTAATACTGTTCCATTAATGCATTTTTGTATGTTTGAAACATTAATACAGCCATATACATACAGCAGTAGTACAAGTGTATGGTTAGAGTACGCATACGCTCTGAGAAACCACGCGTGTTAAATGGAAATGAAGGTTCATTTATACTGGCATGTATACACAGCAGCAAGCTCATGCCACCAACAGCGATGTCGTATGCATAAAATTTCTACTGGGACGACATCAGCACATCCTCATACAGTACTCTGGCTCGTAGTCCTCCACGCAATATAAAACCGACACATGCCCTGCAGGAAAAACTTGAGTGATTATAAAAATCTTAATACTCATTAATGTACTTATGTATGTATGCTGGAGAAGAAGTATAAGAAATCAATTCGTAACATGTAAGCCATCAAGGATAATAGCTGTCGTCCTGCTATAATAAAAAATTTAACCAAATACTTAATTTATTTAAATCCGAATACTCGCAAGTAACTTAATTAGTTATGAAAAGCTTTACAACCGTACTACGCTTCTTTAACAACCAATTAGCGGTGAATGAGAGTAAAAGCCTGATTATGGCAACTTAACTTAACGTAACGTAGAACTTAACAACTCAAAATAAAACAGATTTCGACGAGGCATTAAGTTACGTTGAGTTTCGGTTGTTCAGTTGTAAGCAACATCCATTAAAGAGAATGTTTAAGTGAGAGCCTGTAAGTTACGTTAAATTGCCATAGTCAAACCATAAGACAGAGTAGCTCCTAGCAACATACAAAGAGTCTTCGCTTATTCGGACACGTTACTGTTGACAGTTTTGGCAGTTATAGGTAATTGAAAAGCAGGGCTCTTTCTTAACGAACAACAATCTACAATCCCTTAACATGGCTGTTCTTTTAAATGGAACAAAAACACCGACGATGCCGAGCAAAGATGAGAAGGCTTTGAGGGCTTTTGGTAGAATAATTCTACGCAGGATCAATGGCCGAGATCGTGTGGGCGATGGCTATCTAATAAGATGGAATGGCGAATTGTACAATGACACCCACTTAGTGAAATTCAGCGCTTGCGATGGCTTGGGCATGCTGTACGCTAGGATGATGCTCCGTTAAAAGAATGCTCAGTTACGGTACCCATAGTTGAACAGCAAAAGCAATGGCACCTTGGTTGAACAACAAGGGAAACATCGATTTTGTATATAAACTTTGTTCGTATTAATCGTGAGTTCTCTTTAAGCGACAAAAAGTACGTGTATTTTTTTATGTGGCTCGTCTTAACTCGAGTATGGCTTAAACGGAAAGTACTGTACCCACATAGTAAACATGATCGATACAGCTATTAAATTTTCTCACCAAATAGAAGAATAGGTAGCTACTATTTTTGCATACTTAACTCAATTTCGTGTTTTGTATTTTAGCATCCTTGCGGCAAATGTGCGATATATGTATGTATGGATGGATGTATGCACGTTTGCGCATTGTTGTTTTTATTGTTTTGTTACTTCCAGATATTTGAATGTGGAGCTGCTTTAAATTTGTTAGAAACTTTGCTCCATGACATACATGTGTAAAGTGCTTTGCATAATTTTAGCACCACCCTTACATTCAAATACATATCTGGAAGTAACAAAAACATAAAAACAATACGGAAACATGCATACATCCATACATACAACCATATATCGCACATTTTCTGCAAGGATGTTAAAATCCAAAAAACGGAATTCGCTCGCAGCATCGGCGTCAAATAAAAAGGTATCCATTGCAAAGTTGGTAGATTTTCTTGCTGGGTGTGAGTCAATTCATATGTACATACTTATATGTGTACCCAGTCAGCAGAGAAACGTACATTTCACCGACAATTTGAAAATAATGGGGCATATGCATAGGCAAAATAACTCTAAAATTCGTTGCAGCTTTTTGACATAATTTTCAATGGAATATCAGTCCCAAATGCTGCAACTAATATTTATTCAAACTGAAAATTTGAGAAAATTTATCTACTATACGTATTCTGGCAGTAACTCAATGTGCAGAAGAGCGTGCTACTATTTTTTAGCTTTCAAGAAATAAGGTGCGGTTAAACGTGGCAATGCAAGCGCTTTTTCTTCACATTTTGCTGTCAAAATGCGAAAGGGAAAGTCTACTTTCACGTGTAAATACCCGTTTTGCAGATTTGCAGAAATCACGTTCGGAAATAAAATTTGCAAGGTGTAACTGCAACTGAAATTACGCAATTCGCTTTCGAGAAATTATTTCAACTTGCTCGTGCTCCACGAGCAATTTTCATTATTGCTGCAAGTGTTGTCAAACCAATCCAGTGTTGCCGTGTGTTACGAATTTTGGCGAATTGGTATAAGATTTTAAAAATGTTGGCTCACATTTAAAAAAAAATACTGGAAATTTATGTATTCTCCTGATATGAACAATTTTAATATTAAAATATTAGACAGTTTGTGGTTCTTTTGTGCGTATTTTAGCATTATTAACGAACATTTCAGGTCAGTAATATTGTTATAAGCAGGGAACGGATTTTATGGAAATTGCCTTTTTTTCTGCTAAAGAGATAGAGTATATTCGATTAAAAATTTCCACGATTTAGCTTTCCCTGATTCCATGTATACACATTTGATGTTGCCTTTTTTTGCCTTTTTTGAGATATTTGCCTTTTTTTTGCCTTTTTTTAAGATATTTGCCTTTTTCTGCCTCTACCTTTAAAAAAGTGATTATAGCATTTACAATTTTTTTTTTAAGATTAAAAAATATACACATGCCCATGCGGCTTATAGAAGCGCAGGGACCTCTTGCCAAATTGGTGTTGGAAAAATTTAAAGCCGTTTTCTCAGCTAACGTAGGCTTGAAGACAATAAGGGGTGTGTATAAAATTGTAAAGGGCGAGGAAAACGCCCTTATTCCTGATAATATGAACGTTTCAAACGTTCCATATTTAAATTGGGCTCCACTTGTATCAACTTACGTCGACCGCACATTTAGTACATTCAAGGCTTTTCTTCGCGAAAATCGAATGAAAATGCTGCCAGAAAACTTCAAAGTGCATCTTGTAGTTCAATGTTACTTAGAAACTCGAAAGGATAAAATAGTCAAAGAGTCAAAGTACAAATTTTTCATATAAAGAAACTAGTTCATAGTTTTCTCTTTTTACTTGTAATATAAAAATTTCTAAAATAAATATATTTTTTGATTGTTCTTCGTATTTTCTGTCTTTTTTTAGTGCCTTATTTTGCTTTTTTGGCAATACCTTTTTTTTGCCTTTTCCTGCCTTTTTCGCTATTTTGTTTTGCCTTTTTTTGCCTTTTTTGCAATACCTAGTGCCTTTTCCTGCCTTTTTCGCTATTTTATTTTGCCTACTCCAGCCTATTTCGTTACTTTATTTTGCCTTTTTTATAGGTTTTTATGTCCTAAAAATCCGTTCCCTGGTTATAAGCATAAAATGTCTGCTAACACATGTGAAAGTAGAACCTACTACATTCACTGTGTAAATGACAAAAAGTAGTGCCGGAAAGTTTGACCTTCGGAAATAAAAACTGCTTTCGAAAGTCACTTTACATGGAAGGTGTAACAGCTCTTGCAATCACTTTTGGAATTTCTTGAATTTGACCGACTTTTAAAAAGGACTTGCACAGTCTTGAGATTTAAAGAGTTCTTAAAAAATTAACACAAAAGATAAAAAAACTGATTTACGAAAAGAAAACTATGTATGACTCTACTATTTACATGTATGTACATGTGTATGTGTGAAAATATGTCAATAGAAAGAAATTAGTTAAACAAGCAACCTACGGTGATTGGACCATTCACCAGTACCACCAACACCAAACACACCAATCAAGCCATTATCTGCATGTGCATGTCGTGCGGTAAGCAAGTGCGACGACGACAAACTATTCGTCTTGTACACATGTTCGGGTGCGTCGTTAAAACGACGGCCCAGCAAGCTACGGACTGTCAATATACCATTATCATCCAGTCCATTCGACATTCCCGAATAGCGTTTGTTCCTTTTGCCCAGCTGTGTGCCACGCTGTAGACCACAGCCCGTTGTAGTGCCACTCCCACCGCTATGCTGCTGCCCAATGTCAAGATCTTGTAGCTCCTTCAGACATAACCAATCGCCGTCGACGGAGACGCGAAAATTGCAAAGGTAAATGGTGTCCTGCACACCGCCGGCGATCTCTTCATTTGTGTTTGCATGCGAAGCCTTCGGCAACGTTATTGTTGTAGAGTTATTATTCTGCAGTTGTTTGTGTTGTTGTTGCTGTTGGTGCTGCTGCTTTTGCTGAACAGCCGTCGATGTGGCAGCGGTCGCAACGTTGCCTTGCTGTTGCATCTTGGCGATCTTATTTGAATTGTTTGACTGTGCTACTAATGTTACAGTGGTTTTTTGGTAAACTGCGTTATTGTTGTTGTTATTCAACTTTAATTTCCTGGTTTCATCAGCCAGGGTGCGCATGTTATGGGTATTGGATGCGCATAGGCGAATTGCTTTCCGAAAGGCCACACGTTGGTAAGTCTGCTAGGAATTACACAGTTAGATGATGAAAATAAGGACGACTTTCTCCGTTGATTTTGTTAGCCACAAAGTTGATGAGTTTTGAATCGCTTGAAAAATAAGAAGACACAAGTAATTATACATAGGATAATTATCGCACATACTGATTTGCTCTGGTGAAAAATCGAAGTGCACCTCCCCATCCACATTTACCTTCAATGCAGTACCAACTGGTTCAATCAAACTTTTTTTTGTTTTTCAAAACAATTCTGCCACTTATTTCGAGGTTTTGAACTTTTTTATATGTTGGCGAATTTTTATCTGTTAACACTGTAATACTTTTATGATTTGCAAAAGTGCAATTTTCCAATGCGAAATTTGTATTGTGCTTTGTCAAATAGTGCAGCGTAAAGTATGTATGCATAGATATGCATAACGCGACTGACTGGCAACTTCTCCGATGACTGTATACATCAAGTGTTTACTTCTCACAGCTAAAAAGCGTAGTAAACGTGTAATTTGAGTCCTTTGTGTATCTCTGCTTGGAGTCGCTCACATCCGGTGGTGAGTTTGCTCGCTCGCAACTTTTGTGTTTTTAGGTTTTGTTATTGATTTTCCAAACGGCGCTGTCACTTTGACATTCGTACAACTATTCGCTAGTTTTTCGTTTCTAAAATGTTTTTAACGGTTAAAACACCCTTAACAGGTCTATTCTGCACGTTACCTAAGATTTTGTAACCGGAAAATTGTATTACCAAAAAATGTTACCAGTTCTTGTCAACGTGATTTTAGGTACATTGGTAATGCAGTTAAAATATTCAGGAATTCAGCTATGAAGAATTGTGCAAATCCTGGCATTGCATATTTTACGGGGCAATAATTTGTTACCAGCTTATGGCCGCTGTGGTGTAGTGGTAAGCAGTGCGCGCTTCCACTCCACAATGCCTGGGTTCAAACCCTGGTCAAAGCAACATCGCAAAAATATAGAAAAAAGGTTTTTTCTTAACAGCGGTCGTCCCTCGGCAGGCAATGGCAAACCGCCGAGTGTATTTCTGCCATGAAAAACAGCTTCTCATAAAAATACAATCGCCGTTCGGAGTCGGCGTAAAACTGTAAGTCCCTCCGCTTTGTGTGACAACATCAAGGCGCACGCCACAAATCGGAGGAGAAGCTCGGCCAAACACTAACATATGTGTAAGCGCCAATCTATTATTATTATTATTATGAGATGGTAACAAAATTTACCGGTTACAAGAGTACACAGAATGCGAAAAGGGTTTAAAAATTGACAGGAACTTTATTTACCGGTTACAAACTCTTTATTACCAGCGCAGAATAGACCTGTAAGTATTGCTTTGCGAGTTCGCACACCGCATTCCTTTCTGCGATGATTCAGATTTGGATCATATGTTAATATTAGCTACCCAGCAAACAGAGTCTCTAACGTTAGAGAAATTTGGATTTCTACATTAGATAACTAGTGATGACGTAGTTAGAGAACTACATTAGAATACGATTCGAGAGCGTTTAGAGAAGCAAGGCAAATTCAAATAAATGTAAATAAGCAATATTTCAAATGAATGAATCATAAATTATTTTAAGTTAAAATAATTCATTATTATTTTATTGCAAATTTACATAATAAAAATTTTACAGACAAAGCGTTTTATTTAATAAAGCAAAACAACAGTTTGAAATTCACATGCGAATCCCATTAGAAATCAACACTAGAACTCGATAAGAGAATTAATATTTTCTCGAGTCGAGAACTAAGTCTCGTTTTTGTTGTGATCGCTATGATTTTCGATAGTTTTTCGAGTCGTTCTCTAACGTTTGAGAGTGGAGAATGTGGCTAGTTCTCCAATCATTCTCTAATCGATAAATAACCTCAATGTTTGCGGAGCATATATACTACTTCATACAAACATGTATGTATGTATGCCACCACACATTGTTTATCTGATTTCATCTTTTTTATGCGCTCTCTCGATATTCAATATAACGGCTTTTAGAAGAAGTCAATTGTTAATTGTATTATTTTCAAATGTTTCCAAATTCTTACCTCTCAACCAGAAGACTATTTTTAATATAATTTGTATTTATTGCAGCCGCTGTAGCCGAGTGGTTAGAAGTACGTAGAACACTCCGTAGGGACAGGGTTCGAAACCTGGTCAAAGCGACATCACAGAAAAAAAATTTAGAAAAATATTGTTTCTTAACAGCAGTCGCCCCTCGGCAGGAAATTTCAGATAGAGCTGTGCTCATGGGAGCATACCCGAGCTTCTTTCAGACGAAGGTTTATGCCATTCGTCTGTATGCAGAGACCACCGTAGGGAGCGATAGCCAGGCTATACTCAAGGCCCTTTCATCTTTGGTGATCAAATCCTCGTTGATCCTTGAGTGCATTAATAAGCTCAACACCCTGGCGGAGTACAATGTCATCCAGTTAATTTAGGTACCAGAAACATATGAGTTGAGGGTAACGAGGAAGTAGACCGTCTAGCTAGAACAGTGGCCGTCTATCTTCAATAGGGCCTGAGCCTTTCCTTGCGATCGGACCTAGCATAATCAAGAAATAGATCACGAAGAAGAGGAACAAACTCAGAGAGCAAAACTGGCGTAACACCGTAGATCTACGGCAGGCAAAATATCTATGAGAAGGCTGCAACCCTACAAGGTACATGGCAATTATAAACCTTACCAAGATTAAGGATACTAACAGGAATTCTGACGGATCACTGCAGACTTAGAGGTCACCTTCATAAGCTACGGATCTGCATTGGCACTCTGACAATGGCTATGCCAAATTTTCGCTGCAAAATTCTCTAAATAAAAAAACAGTTGGGCCTAAAAGTATACATCATGGAAAAGTAACAGATGCAATCTATAATCAGCCAAATCTGGCGGTATGAGGGGCATGTAATTAGATGTTCCCTACTATTCTTTTGGAGATCCAAATTGGAATTCGGCTAATGGTCGTACGACCTATATCGCTTCTGTGAGTGTGCTTCGCGAGTGTGAGGCGGTTGCAAGAAGACAGAAAAGGCACGTAGGCCAACTCTGTCCAAGTGTTGAACTCATTCAATCGCTAATCCCTGGAGCTCTCTTAAAATTTTTCTACCTCTTGGTCGCATTGCATACCTCCATATCATATACATACGTAGGTACATAAGTACATACATACATAGTAGATCTATTTATCTACTTATTTGGCACTACATCTTTGTCGGTTTGGGCCGACCAGTGCAATTGCTTTTTCAGTTGGCCGGTTTATTGGGTTCAATCAGACAGAGTACACAGATCTATTTTTTTTTTGAATTGAAATAAACCAAAAAATTAAAACTTATTTTCATTCTCTAAGGAGATTGCTCCTTCCGTTCCTATATACACAGCGAACAAAAAACATTTTATTGTCAATTTGCATGTAGGTATTTAATAAGATCTGAGGTGTCAATATTTGGAGCATTTTTTTAACCGACCTGGCTAAACTCGGAAAAATAGCCGAGTTTGCATTTTGTCATCTAAGCGAGTATTCTTTTGTAGCTGGAAGAACAGCCTCACTGAATAAATTGAAAGTGCTAGAAAGCCGGGTTTAAATGGAATTTAAATAATATTTTTGTTTAGTTAATTTTCTAGGTGAAAATTGTTTTCAACTATTCGGTAAATATTTATTATGCTGAACACTAGGCAACCGCTGAAACTACGTGTTAGGGCAACCTTTTTTTCTTGTTCAATAAACACGGGGAAAACGGTAGTGGCAATAATGGCGGTAACCATCTTATCGCGTGCTATGTATATAATCAAATGGACATACGGACGCTGCCAAAGTACCTTTTCTGCGCACACTTGTTTTCAAGAACTACAGCAGATACACACGAGGCTACCGACACGGCACCCAACGCAGAATATCAAAATATATACATATGTATGAGGCGGCCTCTGTGGTGTGGTGGTAAGCAGTGCGCGCTTCCACTGTGCAGCGCCTGGGTTCAAGCCCCGATCAAAGCAACATCGCAAAAAATGTAGAAAAAAAGTTTTTTTCTTAACAGCGGTCGCTCCTCGGCAGTCAATGACACACCTCCGAGTGTATTTCTGCCATGAAAAAGCTTTAAAACTGACTGCAAACATAGACCAAAAATTTCATAAAGTCCTATTTTTAATCTTTCCAAAAAAATATTAGAATAAGTAATTTTTAACCAAAAAACAAAACCGGTTCTAATATAAAGGATTCAGAGTACAGTTAATTTCTTCATGATCCAATGATCGGATCTAAACTAAATTAGTATGGGACCATCTCGGAGACACTACCTTTTCGATAGAAAAAGAATAATCAAAATCGGTTGACGTGGTCCCAAGTAACGCTAATGGGGTGTCATTTTTTCTCGAATTTAAACAATAAACACGAGCCCGTCATATGCGCCTCGTAAAAGTTCGCTTATAAGCTTGCATAGAAGGTATTATCGGGCATATTTTGTAAAAGGCTAAACCCCACCGTCAACGAACCATTTGACCCTTATCAGAGTAAGTAGTTTTAGAACTGATGTATCCACCATAGACTAAATCTTGGAAAAGACCCGCGATAGGAGGATCGACAAGCAACACCTATATATATAGCACGAATGCACGATACGCAGCAATGTCTGAATTTGGTATCTCCGCGAAACCAATGGACAGGGCTGCCGACTATATTTAGGTATGAAGTGAATTATTGAGGATAAAAAAGTGCCAAAATGTGCCAAAAAGCAAAACAAAAGTGCTAAAAAAGGTGAAATTCTTATAAATTCTTCCCATTTAGCATTAAAATTAGAAACACGTTCCTAAAACAAAAGTCCAATGTCAATGTTAGATAAACCATTTATATACTTTATAGAAATTAAAAAAATTTAGTTGAGAATAAGAAGCACAAAGGATTTCACAAAAACGTGTGGAAATATTATTGTGCCAAATTGAAAAATTGAGTGCCGTTTTAAGTAAAATAGGGCCAAAAACGCCACGGTTTGAGCCAAGTTGGTAGCCCTACCAATGGATAGTCCGGCAGAGAGGTACACTTAGTTCAGTAAAGCCCATTTGATGCCACTTTAGTGAGCTCTTGTTCCGTTGAATCAGTAGGATAGAACAAATATTTATTACAAACAATGCGCTATACTCTTCACCTCCACTTCGGCTCTGCAGATACGAGGAAAATCGATCACGGAGTATCGCATTCGCGTATATGTGCTCCCATTGAACAGTACCTAGTAATAATAATGTCCCTTTACCTGATGATAGGGCAATCAATCATTGAAGAGCCTTAAATCTTATTTCTTCGATAAACTTGGCCAGATCTGTCTTTAAACGAAACAGGCAGGTGTCTTGTTCTATTTTCGTTGGTCAAATCAATGAAAGGTGATGTTGAGTCGGCATTATGCGCAGAGTTAACTAAGCGTAGGTCGGTTCCTTCCTTTGCGAACTCGCATGCCGCACAGTTTCCAGTTATTTTACTATGCCCGGGTAGTGATACCGCGTTTCTGATAATTTTAGCAGCTAACTCATTTGAAGTGCCAGTGCATGATTCAAGCATGAGCGTGAGAAATATTTCAAATACTCACGTAGCTTCCTTAAATATAGCAAAGGTTAAAAACATTATGAGGCCATGAACGTAATCAGGCGTGATTTACGTGAGACTGATATTATTTTATGTGCGAAGAGTTACAAGTTTT